AGAGTACCAGGAAAAGCACAGGAAACAAGGGTAAGATTGTTAAATAAGGGTAAGGTTGCAGGTGTATGCCATGGCCTTTTGCATTGAATTTCTAGAGGTAGGGCCATTCCCCTCTTGCTGGTACAGGATGATTTACCTTGGAGATTTACTTACACATGTAAACATCTTTTACACAGGGCAACTTGCACTTGGTTTTTTAGAGCTTCTCTGATGTCTGCTGTTTCTTAAAGTCAACCAGCCTGAAATAAACCTTAGGCCAAGTAGGCATATTTGGGGGTGACAAATTCTGTTCCCCTACATCTCCTAGGCTAAAAACCTGTACAGCATGTCACTGCACTGGATACTGTAGGCAATTGTAATACAATGATAAATATTTGTGTGATGCATTACAAGGGCTAAGATGGCTATGATGTCACTAGGTGATACGAAATTTTCGGCTGCACTATAATATTATGGGATCACTGGTATATAGGAAGTCCTTCATTGTTATGAGGCATAGGATTGTAGTTGCATTTACAGAAAATCCAGTAAAGAAATAAAATGGCGCCCTGACCGGTTTGGCTCAGTGTATAGAGCGTTGGCCTGTGGACTGAAGGGTCCTGGGTTCGATTCCAGTCAAGGGCATATACCTTGGTTGTGGGCACATCCCCAGTAGGGGGTGTGCAGGAGGCAGCTGATTGATGTTTCTCTCTCTTCGATGTTTCTAACTCTCTATCCCTCTCCCTTCCTCTCTGTAAAAAAATCAATAAAATATATTTTTTTAAAAAATGGAGTCACTATCAGTCAGGTGTAAGAACTTGAAAATACTTTGGGAGACTCAAAGAGAGAGGAACTCACCCAAATCTATAGGTATTACAGGCAAAGTCTGATGGCAAGTCCTTGCCTTGGCTTTTCTGGTTTTGAGAGACCTTTTAAAGTTCAACCTCATGATTCTTTATGAAAAAACAACAACAAAACAAAACAAAAACAGCTAAGCAGAGTTAAAAGAGCTATATAGTTAATTACTATTCTTGTGGCTCCTATGTAAACAACAGGCCAAGTTTATTGAAACAAGACTTGTTTTATAAGCAAAGTATTCTTAATTTGGCTATCTTTGGTAAAAATGAGAGCGATTTTAGAGGAAGATTGTGTGTCAGTAATACCCCTTTGTGGATATTAGATTCCAGTACTGTTCATTGTCTTTTGAGGTTTTGTTCCTACCTGTGAGCTGGATTGGATCCTGAATTCTTCCAGTTTCCTCCAGCATCTGGCTCTCATTCTGCAAATGAATGCTTCCAATTTCTCTGCCATCCTTTGACTTAAAATCATTGAGAATCAAAACCGCACTTTCCCAAAGCCATGCAAGCTACAGTGCGACACCTGATAACAACTTCAGAGAAGTCGCCACAACAGCTCATGTATGGACAATCTTTGTGCCGGTTGCAGAAAAATCACCAGTGACATTCAAACTGCAGACCAGTTGAACTATCAGACTGTCCCTGTCCGCCTTCACTCCATCTGAAGATGCTTTGAGCCAGACACCTAGAAGTCTACTGGCTGCCTTCAGCACTCAGAGACTGGGATTAAGTGTGCTTCAATTGTTAACCGTTGTTTTTCTTTTGTTTCCATAGAGATGCCTCTTATTAAACACCCGACTGCTTGTATCACAGACCATAGCCCTAACTGTGGGAGCCATCTGCAGCATCACCTCCTGAAAGAAGAGACAGCTGTTTACTGAACTGACCTGTACTCAAGACTGAGACTGCTTTCTGAAACTAGTGTGTAATAATAATGTCTTTATGGGTCCTTCTTAATGCTTTCACCTCAGTATTGGCACACATATTGAGCTGACTACACACTCATTTATGAAAAGCCTATATGTCTCTAGCCTATATCCCCCCTCCGAGGGACATAATGGACCCAAAGAAGGCATTGCCACCTTGGCATCGATGCACATTAAAACATTTTGTTTGATTTATGATGTTTTCTGAGAAACAAATCCTGGTCAAAAAGGAGAAAGTAAGGAGTAGAGTGAAGAAATAAAATGGAGTCACTATAGTTAAGATGCTAAATTACTAAAATTAAGTAGGTTGAGGAATGAGGAAATGATTCTATTTTTGTTTTAACTAGTCTGGGATTTTAAACTTTTAAATTTTCAGTCCTAGATACACACCTGGTGCCAATCTCCTAAGACCATCATTTGGACTGCCTAGATTTCAGTGATAACTTCTCTGAACCAATCTTAAGGCTAAGAATGCAGGACAGATTATTCTCAAGAATGTAGTTTTTACTATAAGAACCCTAATCTTTCTTCTTCAGAAGACTTCAGCTATGTTTCCAGTTTGAAAACCCTGAGACTCTTGTGAATTTTTATCATTCATTTCCAGCAAAGCCTCCGGACTCTTTTTTTGCATTTGTTCCACAACAGCACGCATTTAAGTGGTGCAAAACTATTTTGTGCTTATATGTAAAACAGAATTGAAGTTCTAATGTAATTAGAAGCACATTTTAAATGGTCCAAGTGTCCAGTCTGACGTATGAAAGCCATGTGGGGCACAAGCAATCAGTGTGCTGCGAATTCCTGTGCGTGGGGGGACCTGTAACCCTGTCCACCCTCAACTAAACGCCAGTGCCCCGCCCCTTCCTCCAATCATTTGTGGTAACCAATTAAAGCAACTGCAAATTTCCAAAATGCCCTCTAGGGGGCAGTACCGGTGTGGGCTGCGGTGCTAGAAGAGCTTAACAGGAGACTTGCCGTGGTCTCTTCCTTTGTAAAAAACGAAGATAGTTGAGTGAGGGAGACAATGCAGGTAAAACACTTAGCAAGATGCGTGGCACGCATTATGTCCTCCAAGAATGTAAGCTAATACTCTCTGCCGGCGAATCAGCAGAGATTGTTTGGGGAACATTGTGGCCTTGGCGTCCAGGTAGATGTGGGTGAGTGCAGATGGGATCAGGCAGGCAGCGCAATCACTGCCTCACACGTGAAACAGGCCGTGAATAATTAAACACTCGCCGTTCACAAAAAGGAGCTCCCAGGGAGAGCTGGAGTCAGAGAAATCTTTCTGGAGGAGACAAGGATTGAACCAGGGCATCTGGAACTTGAGAATATATATTTATCCCAGGAATAATAAATAACTCCTAGATTCTTACTTCTCAAAATTGTGGCCTTCAGACCACCGTGTCAGCAGCGCCAGGGGGTTTGCTAGAACTCTCAGCCTCCAACCCAGGTCTGCTGAGTTAGAATCTGCATTTTAACAAGAATCCTGGTGTTCATCTGCACACTCACACCTGGATGTGCTGGACTAGGGAACTAATTGAGAACCAGAGGAAAGAACAAAGATACTTGCTCCTTTGAGAGAACACAGACAGACCTTGGTGTGTGTGTGTGTGTGTGTGTGTTTGTGTGTGACAGAGAGACAGATGTAAATGAAGATTTTCATCCAGATTTCAGATCTCCTTAATCAGAATCTCAAAGCAACGAGGAGCCAGCATTTAAACAAAGGAACGAACAAACAAAGGCTTCCCAGATGACTTTAGAAAGGGGAGTGAGCTTAAAAAATACTGATGCCCAGGTCCCAGGTTAGACCAATTCCATCACGGACGCTGTGGGATCTCCAGCAGTGGGAGAGCCCTGGGCATTTTGGTTCTTAAACTCCCCAGATCGGTGGTCGGCAAACTGTGGCTTGTGAGCCACATGCGGCTTTTTGGCCCCTTGAATGTGGCTCTTCCACAAAATACCACGTGCGGGCGCACGTACAGTGTGATTGAAACTTCGTGGCCCATTCGCAGAAGTCGGTTTTCAGCCTGGGCGAGTGTATTTTGAAGAAGTACTGTTGATATTTGGCTCTGTTGACTAATGAGTTTGCCAACCACTGCCCCAAATGTTTGAGAGCCTCGAAAGGGGGAAACCTGGAGGGGAGAAGTCTGTGTGGGAGAGAGCAAGGAGGTGGTGTGTGTGTCTGCAAACGCCTGAAGGTTTGTCTACCTTCAAGGACAGAACAAAGATTGGGAGGTAGGTAGAATTTTTCTTTTTCTTTTTTTATCCAAGTAATCATAGCATTAAAAAAAATGTTCCTTCTTTCTTTCCTCCCTCCCACCTTCTTTTCCTAGAAGAAGGGGCCTATGAAATGACCTAGTCCAACTCTTTCAGTTTGTAGCCACGAAATTAGTGATCAAATAGGTAAAGTGAGTTGGCCAACATCAACTCAAATCTTCTCATTCCTACCCAGGAATCTCACATGAAATGAAATCCTCTTCCCTTTTCTAGTGACAGTTCCCACCGGTGACACCGCAAAGGCATTTAAATCCTATTGCGATTTCAATCGCAGGCAAAAGAAAGCTTATTCTACAAAAAAAAACCCCCACCAAAAACAAAACAAAACAAAAGAAAAAAGCAACTGAGTGCCTACCCCCCAAAGTAGGCAGGTTTTAAATAAGGAATTGGCATTTTATAGCTCATTGATTTTAAAGACGAAATCTAAAACAAATTTCTATTTAAAAATGAAATCTAATTTGGATGTTGATACTATTGAAATCAGGATAAATCTGACAAACGGCCTATCGGCCTCTGAACCTCTGGGGCTGACAGAGAGCGGGCTGGGCCCCGGCCTGGCGTGGACCGGGCCGCCCTTCGCTGCGGGGACCAGCCGCAGGGTGCACGGGTCTGAGCTCCGCGCGGTCAATGGTGGAGACGGCCGCCGCGCGGGACAGGCTTCGAATCCCGAAGGGCCGGCGAAACTCAGAGGGAACACAGCCAGCCGGGGGTGGGGGGGGGGGGGGGCTGGCTGGGACAAAGGCCCAAGGAGAGTCGCCGTGGGGAGCCTGGGGACCCAAACATTTCCTAGAGCCGAGTGATCCAAGGCTGCTCGGCCCCCTATGTTGGTGCTGAAAGGAGGGGCTGGGAGGGCAATCAAAGCCTCCAGGGAAGCCGGGCCGACGGCTCGGGAGCAGGTGAACCTGGTTTTCCCGGGATGGGCGGCGAGGACGGCAGCCCAGGCGGAACTCAGCCCCGCCCCTGCGCCCGTGCGGTTCCAGCGGGGAGAGATGCCAAATTAGGGCGCCGCCCGCCCTCCGGCCCGAGCGCGGCCGCGGGCTTCCCGGACGGCAGGGGAAACCGGGCCGGGGGTTCCCCTCCGGGCACGCGGCGCGAGCGGAGCAGGGCTCCCGTCACCCCCTCGCTAGGCCCGGCCGGTGCGCCCCCGTAGTTCCCGGGCGCGACTGGCCCGCCGAATCCTTCCGTCCACACGGTCTCGGCGCGCGGGTTCGGCTCCGGGGCCTCGGGGCGGGTCCCCGCCGCGGCACCTGCCCCAGGGGGCGGAGCGCGGCAGCCACTCCGCGGCCCCGGCCACGGGCGCGCGGCTCCCGGCACCCCCGCCCCTGCAGCCGGCGCACCTCCACACTCGCGGCGCCGCCTCCCTCCCTGCCGGCGCTGTCCGTCCGTCCGTCCCTCCGCCGGCTCACAGCCTCCGAGCCCCGCACTTTTGGCTAGAATCCCCGCCGCTCTCCTCGCCGCCGCTGGGATCCGCAGCCCCGCGCCATGGAGACGGCAGCGGGCAGCGAGCGCCGCAGCCCTCCGGGCCCCGTCGCCCCGCCACGGACCCGGGGCCACGCGCCCTTGGCCGCTGCCCCCGGCCCGCTGAGCCCCCCAGCGCGCGAGCCGCCGCAGCCCGAGGAGGGGCAGCAGCTGCGGATCAGCCAGAGCGGCCAGTTCAACGACGGGCTGGAGGACCGAGGTGAGCGCGCCGCCCGGTCCCCGGCCCCTGCCCCCGGCAGCTCCCCGCTCCCCGCTCCCGGGTTGGGTTGGGCGCCGAGCAGGGACCTCCCAGCGAAGGAGCGGGGAGCAGAGAACAGCAGCCCCACCTCCCCGGGCGGTGCCGCCTCGGAACCCGGGGACCGGCTGCCTCCAGGGGAAACCCTCAGGAGCCCGCGCCCTCCTCTCGGCCGGCCCCGGCCCCTGCCCCTCCGCGCCCCCTGGAAAAGTTTGCGGGAGGCGGTTTTTTGCTTTTGGAGCTGAGCGCCCCTGGGGACGGCAGTCCCCTCTCCGCTGGGAGGCACCTGCGCCCGGTGCGTCCTCCGCCCCAGCCCCTCCGACTTCGCGGGCTCCGGGATGACTTCCCTCTGCGGGGTGAGCCTGGAAGAGTCCCTTAGCGGCCGCCGGGCCGCCCGCCCCTGCCAAGGGGAGTCGGGAGGCCCCGACCTTCATTTACCGGGGACCCCGTTTACCGTGAGGAGTCCGGGGGTGAGGGCAGAGGCTGTGACACCTGGGTTTGGGCTACCAACCTCACCTGGATGAATGAATGCACCGAAACCCGGTGGTTCCCAGAGCGCCGTGCCCACCTCCTTCAAGATCGCTCCCAAGGCACTGGCCCCGGACCTCCCAAAGGCCCCTTTCCCGGGAGGCCAAACCCCACCTCCCCACGGACAGCCGAAACCCCTTCGAGTTGCCCGCATGAAACCGGGGAGACTCCCCTGTGCATTCCCGCGTCTCTCTCCTCCATCCCTCTTTCTCTCCCTCCCTCGTTTCTTTCCGCTCGAAGCCCTGTTCTTGGCCACGTCTGTATTTTTTCTGCTTGTCACCGAATCCAAGTCCAAATCGACCCGCTCAAATGGGTCCAGTGGTTCTGTGAAAACCCGCCAGTGGCCGAAGCGGGATTCCTGCCGCCAGGCCCTTCCCGGGGAGCCGGGCTCCTCGCCACTTCCCCCCGTTTTCTTGGACGCCTGATTTTTGTTGGCTGTGGCGGGTTTTTATATTTTTATCTTAGCAGGTTTCTGTCCTATTCTTAGTATCTCCTGTACATTTTTATTCCGGTTTAGTGTGCAGATGCACGATCTCTTCCCTGTTAGAAATGTTAAACCATAAGCCGGGGAAATAGAATGACATGGAAACGGCAGTTCCCTGAGCACAGGCTGAACAGGCCGGGAGCGCGGCGAGAACTGGAGCCGCTCAGGTTGCACAGAGCTCGGCACCCGTGTGGCAGTTTCTGGTGGGATTCTCACAGGACTGACTGTTATTTTCGAGTTGGTGATGGGTGACATCACAGGCACCGAGCACCCAACAGGACCTGTCAGTTTTGTTATAGGTGGTGTTGATTACCTTTCCCTCTGCAACGAACTTGGTAGTATTTACAAATTTGGTAGTGAAGAAAGACAAGTCTGAGCTGGGTTTATTTCTGTAGCATTGCAGGTCATCTGCAAGAGCTGGCTGGCCTAGTTCTCCCCACCCCATTAAATGATGGGAGGGCAGAAAGTGCTAGGGTGAGTTGATACTTAGCATCATTTTGTAGTCCACGCTCAACTGTAAAAAGCCCATCTGAATTTGTTCTTAAGGCTATTTTCCACGGGTCTACTGAATTTCATTTTCCATTATGTTATAGTGTGAAAGCATTCACTGTTCATAAACTGTTACTTTGTGAAAGCTTTGCATACCACACACAGCCTCTCTGTTAGGACGAACCCTGTCTCCCAAAGACCCAGTACTTCCTGGCATTGAAAGCTGATAGTGTGACATTCTTTTGTTTAACCTATTCCTGACAGCAAAGAGTTAAGGACGAATGAGTCATCTTTATTAAATAAAGAAGAAGGTTACCTGAGCAGGTTTATAATATTTTGTGTTTGTGTTATTTTTTTCTTATGGGGCCCCATCTTTCCAATATTGATTTTTGCATCCCTTGGGAATGGTTGTTGCTGCCTTCTTCCTGATGGTGAGAGGATCTGGGGAGAAAGGAGCCTTAGCAATTGCCTGCTGTGCATCTCTCCATCATGCCTGGCTTGCGTGCTTCCAGGCCCAAGTAAGGCATGTGAGGGTTGGGTACCCTGGATGTGTACCCATGTTTGGCTTTCTCTCTTGTCCTAGCTTTCTTCTGAGCTATCAGGACCCTGTTGCAGACTGCTTCTAACTCAGATCAAAGGCTTGCTTTATAATCTAGTGTTTTGGGAATTTGGAGGCATTTTTCCCTAGTGATGTGGGCTGGCTCCAGAAACCTAGCTAGCTCACAGTGTCAGTAACTGCAGTGCCATTTGGCTGAGTCTTGTAGTTCAGGGAGCAAGAGCTCTGTGGTCTGAGACCTTTAGGGACTAAATACACAAATTATAGGCCACATTTGTCATAGGTGTTTTCACTCTCTCCCTTTTAATATCCACTCTTCTCTCCACAAATGTTTTCCCATGGTTCTGCTCCAAGCCTTAGGGCCCAGCCTTGCCTCAGCATTTCCCACTACCTTCCCAGCCAATGAATTTCCCCTTTAGAGAATCCAAGCATGACCAAGTCTTTAGGAGAAAGCAATTGGAACGAATTCATACTAGCATGGAAGTACTGATAGCTTCAACCTCCCCACATACATTTGTATTCCCCTCCCCCCCTTAAATAATAATACAGTCCTTCATTAATACAACTTAATGCTTACTGTTGCCTGGCCCAGATTGCAAATATGTGAAATTGGAGTGAGATTAGAAATCTGAATGTGGAGGCCAACTACCTGAGGCCTGCCTTGGCTTTCTAGGCTGTGCTGCCTTTTTTCCTACTTTGGAAGCACAGCTTCCTGAAAACAGAAATTCTCATGACACCTCCGTGGCTTTCAAGTGTACATGCAGCCAACATGGGAGCAGAAATAGAGGCACCTGTGTGCAGGCCATTTATGAGTTGGGTCTTTGTAGGTAATTAAGCTCCATGTCCTTTTGAGGAGTAGAAAGTTTTCCATTCTTGGTATTGGCTATGTTTTTAGAGAGGAAAACTAGTAGGAAATAACCAAGGTTGGATAGAAATGGGTAAGTTCCTCCCTTCAGGGACAGTCTTCCCAGCACATTTACTGCAGTTATTTATTTATTTATTAAAATATATTTTATTGATTATTTACAGAGAGGAAGGGAGAGGGATAGAGAGAAACATCGATGAGAGAGAGAAACATCGATCAGCTGCCTCCTGCACACCCCCTCTTGGGGATGTGCCCGCAACCAAGGTACATGCCCTTGACCAGAATTGAACCTGGGACCCTTCTGTCCGCAGGCCAACGCTCTATCCACTGAGCCAAACCGGTTAGGGCTTACTGCAGTTTTTTAATTTAAAAAATCTCATGGGGGAGTTACACACAGGATCAGATCAGGGGAAGAACCACCGTCCTACTGTTAAGAAGATGTGCCTCCCCTTAGCAGGGCATTCTAGCCTATGTGGGCTGTGATCCCAAACCCCTTCATGGCCGTGCTGGCCCCCTGAGGGGTGCGGCATGTAGATTGGTCTACATGGTCAGTCATATTGTTGAGAACTGCTGACTTTGGAAGGAAAAATGCCATGTGGCAGGATAGAAAACGCCGATCATTGTGTTTCTCTTAGAACGTTAAATCTACTTGCTTTTACCCCCAGTAGATAAACCTCTTGAGATGGTTGCTGTCAAAATACCCAGCAAATTAACTGCTTGTTTGAGTCATTACTTAAATATTACAGCTTCCCTTCTGAAAATCAATTTTCCAAGATGAAAGGAAGATTTTTATATCATTTGGGAAAAGGGAAATAAATTATTGGGAGTGTGTGGGGCGTGCTCTTTCTAGGTTGTGGCTTTAACTGGACAAAGGGTGATTATATTTGAACATGAGAATAGGGTGTTTTTGGCAGCTGGAGAGGATGCAGACAAAGGGACAGAAAGAAGTAGACAAAGAGATTTTACTTTGAAATCCCTTGTTCCTAGGGTAGAATTTCGTAAGAGGTTTTTCTGTTTTCCATCCAAGTTCATTCATTTGTTAAGGAAGGTTTGGGGAGGTACTTACTGTGAGATGATGGAGATTGTGTTTAAACGTGCCTTTAGCAATCTTATTTATCTTTTGATCTGATGTAAGTCCACAGGTTTCAATTATTTCAAAATCTCTGAGCTGTAAACTGGGCTCACTGAGCAACCTCTCGATATTTCCTCTTGTTTTGTTCAGAACTTGTTCAGGGTGCTTGAGTCTTGGAAGTAAATGGAGCTGAGATGTTTTAACAGGGTCTTCGCTATAATTTTTAACAGGACATAGTTTTTTGTGTTATTTTTTTGACAACTGGTGGCTTAGTGTGGTACCCACTCACTAAGTCTAGTAAGATGATGCCCTTTACAGGATGCATACGTGTGACATGTCGCACACTGTACACTAGTTTACAAACAGCGCCTAAGCTTTGACTATCAATTTCTTAATCTTTTGGAGCTTGGTGACGAGGCTGCCCTGCCTGTGAGAGCTATGTGAGCAGCTGTCTAGCCAGAGATGGTGCCATAAGCTCCTTTTATGTCGAATGCTTGACCGAGAATTTGGTTTTCTTTGTAACCAAGATGTGCCATATATGATCTGTTTTCAAAGGAGAAGAAAAAAATGTAAATTGGGATCATACTGAAGGTGTTTCAGTCTCCCACTCCAGGCAGTTGATGCTTGGGCATCTCCTGGGAGCCACGACTTTCTGTTGTCAAGGACTGTCAATGTTGATAGCCTAAACAAAAAGCAAACCTTTCTTACACATGACCTATCTGGAAAGCTACCTCCAGCTATAGCAGATTTACTGCACTTTAATATTCTATGAATTTTTCGACATATGGTTGAGACAAAGGGATAGATACTATCAAGCAGAAAGAGGAGAGAAGAAAAGTGGCATATAATTTCGGTCTGGCGGCTCTGGGTGGTGGCGGTTAGAGAGAAATGGTCCTTCTCCTGTGAATCGTCATGGAGGGCGCAACGCGAGCATTGTATCCCATGACTTACTGCTTTGGGCAAAACCCAGCGCACCAGTTGGGGCTGTGCAGGTGGATCAATGCAGATCAATGCCCACAGCTGAGGAGCCTGAATGGCTCACTAAATGTGGGCTATTGGTATTGTTTTCCTACCGAAAGGGAGCTGTTAGAGGGAGCAGCACCTGTGTGAGCCAAGCTAGTTAACCCAAGGGCTGGGGGATGGCTGCTTCATCAGCAGGTTAGAGCGTGGTGGGGTCTGCAGGGCCCCGGTAAAGGAGACAGCTGCTGTTACTCTGCAGCCACGCAGGCCGGGCATTGCCAGAGCCTCTGGTCTTCTCAAGGGGTGCCGGAAAGCCCGACTTCCAGGCGAACTCTCCTAATTGTAGAACCACATCGCGGCCCCAGGGCCCTCAGTTTGGAGCTTGGTGAGGAGGCTGCCCTGCCTGTGAGAGCTATGTGAGCAGCTGTCTAGCCAGAGATGGTGTCATAGCTCCTTTGATGTTGAATGCTTGACTGAGAATTTGGTTTTCTTTGCAACCAAGACAAGGTAGTGTATAAGAAAGTGTAGCTCTGGCTGTGGGTTTCTTAATAAGGAAACGCCTAACTTCCGTTTCGCCTTCTTTCTGTCAGGCTTGCTAGAAAGCAGCACTCGGCTGAAACCTCACGAAGCCCAGAACTACAGGAAGAAGGCCTTGTGGGTCTCCTGGTTCTCCATCGTCGTGACGTTGGCCCTGGCCGTGGCTGCCTTCAGTGAGTAGCGGGAGCCATGCCCATCAGTGATGTGCCCGGGCTGCCTGTCTCATTCTCTGACTCCTGTGGGTGTGCTTTTGCTTTTAGTTGACTATTATTGATGAGGAAATTTTGGGGGGATGAGTGGATAGTCAGGGTGCTTATAAATTAGAAAAATGGCCTCTCTCCTCTGAGGAGGGAAGACGTGGTGAAGAAGAAGAAATGGAGGCTTGCTCTCTTCCGTTGTAGGTTTGTAGAAGTCGATCCCAGCTGCCAGTCGGACAGGGAACTAGTATTCTCCTGGTGGCTGCCTGCAGCTTTGGCTGATGTGACAAGTGTGTATCCTTGAGATTCTTATTTTGAGCTAATGCAATCCGATGAGTGCAAATTGCAGTACATCCTTTCCTTTCTCCCTAGTTATATCTGGGTAAGGTTTGGGATAAAATCATGGGCACATATTTTCATGAAAGAAAAATGAGAGGGCCCTCTTTCAAGCTTTCAGTGGCCACAGAAACAAAAACATTGATTACAGTCAAGAAACACGAAGATAACTGCACACTTTCCACCTCTGGATAGTCCTGTCTGGCAGGTTAGGAAGCCTCTGACATGCTTCTCAGCTGACGTTTGCAGCCTATGGAAATGGGCACGTGCTACTTATTCTTATTGATCGGGCAATGATTCCCAAGCGTAAGCTATGACATTCAGCTTCAGCTCAACCCTGGTAGAAGCCAGTGTTTTTTTAATGCTGGGTGGGTGGGGGGCGGTGGGGGGGGGATGTATTTTGTGATTTGTTCATTGCCTTATTAGAAAGATCTATATTCTGAGTGATAAGTAGACAAAGTGAATCATGTGACAACCCTCAGAGTAGGAGAGAAAAGGACTGTGCCCTCTGGAAGATAGGGCTCTGTGTTGTTTAAAATTCTATTTTGCACCGTTAGACCTGCTGCTGGAAGTTGGTGTTGGCTCCCTAGGGGGCATATTAGAATTTGACCAAATGCTCCCGGCAAAACTAGGCATATATTACTTGAAGCAATTTATATTAGAAACATTGTAGGTGCCATATCTTGGCTCTCAATAAAAGCCAAACATTTAGAAGCAGCAGGTAATGCATTTCAGGGTATAAACATTTAGCTGTGAGCCAGAAATCTAATCAAGAGGAATTATAATTCCTGAAAATAGCTGCTTCTTCCTCTCCTCCCTTTTTCCTGCTGAAACAAGAATAACAAGCCCGACTGAGGTCCCTAGAGGATAATTTGGTTGTGGTGGCTGTTGGCAGGCTCCATCAGACACCGTAATTTACATATGTAAGGAAAGAGGAATGGAATGAAGGGAGGTGGTTTGCAAACAGAATAACAGTCATTCAGATGTGTCCCTGTGCCTAATAGAGCTGTTACCATTTTATGGTGTGGGTGTTTGAATGGGGACCTGAATGTGAAGAAATATTGAGTAAGTCCTTCCTTTGGGAGAATAATACTACATTTGATGTACTTAATCTCAAAATAGGGAAAAATTGTGAGGAAATTTTGGTTTCACATGTTATGCCTGGTCAGTTGGGTTATCTTGAAAATTTTGTTCCATTTCCTTTAATTAGGAAAAGACTATTGCATAATACATATGGAATTAGAATGTTGCTTTGTAAAAGGATTTTTTTTTTTTAATATATTTTATTGATTTTTTACAGAGAGGAAGGGAGAGAGACAGAGAGCTAGAAACATCGATGAGAGGGAAACATCGATCAGCTGCCTCCTGCACATTCCCCACTGGGGATGTGCCCGCAACCAAGGTACATGCCCTTGACCGGAATCGAACCCGGGACCTTTCAGTCCGCAGGCCGACGCTCTATCCACTGAGCCAAACCGGTTTTGGCTATAAAAGGATTTTTTTCTTTTTAAAATGATTTTACCTCTTTGTTGCAGCAAGTATTGTTGACAAGAACATCCAGCCTAAGAAAAAGTCTTATAAAAGTTATTTGAGCCAATCTGAAAACAATTGCCAGGAAGCAAAATCTCAAGGGATTGAGAAAATGCCTTGAAGAATGGCAGTTTTATAGCTTATTTTATACTACAGGCCTGGTGCACAAATTCATGAACCAGTGGGGTCCCTCGGCCTGGCCTGTGTGATGGGGCCGAAACCAGCTCTCTGACATCCCCCGAGGGGTCCTGGATTGTGAGAGGGTGCAGGCCAGGCCGAGGGACCCCACTGGGGCACAATTGGGGTGGGGAGAGATGCGGGAGGTTGGCCAGCCAGGGAGGGACTGCAGGAAGGCTCCAGGGCATGTCCGGCCCGATTTGCTCAGTCCTGATTGGCCAGACCGCAGCAGCAAGCTAAACTACCAGTTGGACCAGAGCATCTGCCCCCCTGGTGGTCAGTGCACATCATAGCGAGTGGTTGAGCGGCCTTAGCATATCATTAGCATATTACGCTTTGATTGGTTGAACAGCTGACTGGACATCCAGACACTTAGTATATTAGGCTTTTATTATATAGGATATTAGAATCAAAGGAGGCAGGTAATGGTGATGGGGGGAGGTAGATGAAATTCACTGGTGGTAGATTAGGGAGGTGGGGGGATACAAAGTGGGGAAATATCTGAGATGAATAAAGAGTAACCCAAGAGGCACACACATTTGTGGGTACAGAGTAGTTAACATAACATAGAGGTGGTATGTGGGCAACAAGATAACAATGAGGGGTTCTATCCTCTCTGCTCTGGTGTTGTGGGTGCCCCTGGTGGGTCTGGAAAAAAGGGATTACTCTGACATTTCAAAGATATGTTATCTTATCTTAGATGCAAAAAAGACAATAGGCTCACTTAAGATAAAGACCGTCCTTTGTCAAGGAAGCTACAGACCTTGGACATTATTACTGCAGTGATTAGCTTTTATTCAGGAATTTTTATGTTCGGACCATCCTGTGTGGTTACTTTTGGTCTCTGAGTTTGTAAGCCCTGCATGTAGGCCTTCCCTGAGCTTATTAGGTTGAGTATGTGCCCCCCCTTTTTTTGTCCATCGTATTTAAGTCAAATACTCTAACTTCTTGCCTCTAAAATGTTGGCATTGGCAAATAATGTCGTGATCTTAGTTGTTTTCTGTCGTACATTTGTTAGCATCACCATTAGTTAGGTATTAATAGTAATAATAGGAGGAGAGCAAAGGGCGGCCAGACATTGGAAGCACGGTCACCTTGGCAGCCTCACCAGGCAGCTTAGAGTAAGGCAGCTCCCTTACTCCATCTATATGGCGTAGCTATATTTTGTGTGTGTTTCATATTTAAAACCCTCAGGGTGGTCTCTGGTTGTGTTGTTAGGGTTGTTGGTTTTATCCTTTAGTTTCCTAAATGTATGAATAATATCAAATATTTAAAATCCTTTCTAAAGCGTCTTTTACATGTTGACACACTTTTGTGCAATCCTTTTCATAGTTTCAAATGAAAAGAAAATCAGTAGGGATTAAACAATGTAAGTTGACTTTTGAAGTTACTATTTTTTTAAAAATATATTTTATTGATTTTTTACAGAGAGGAAGGGAGAGGGATAGAGAGTTAGAAACATTGATGAGAGAGAACCATTGATCAGCTGCCTCCTGCACACTCCCCACTGGGGATGTGCCTGCAACCAAGGTACATGCCCTTGACCAGAATCGAACCTGGGACCCTTGAGTCTGCAGGCCGATGCTCTATCCACTGAGCCAAACCGGTTAGGGCTGAAGTTATTTTTAAATTACAATCTAAACAAAAGTTTTATGTTTCAGAAATAGCAAGTGTGTTCTTTAAAAAGTGTCAGAAGGAGCCCCAGTCTTATTCTTCGAGGAGGTGGTTGACGGAGAGATGGGATGAAATGAAATGGTCAGGCTGACTCAGTTAATATTTTCAAAGAGAATTGCTACAGAATCCTGACATGCCCATGTTTGAGAGGGCACAGAAGTCTTTGGAGAGTGTGCCCATACGAGCCTGTGTTGGCAGGACTGGTAATCATGGTGAAGAGATCATGTTTATCACCACGACTTCTTGCCACTGCTGCGTCGTTTACCATCTCCCTGGGGGCTGGAAAAGCATGCAGTACTCAAGATTGTTAAATGAGTTAACTGAGATATATTTTAAAAACCTTTTTTTTTTTTTTGGTAGGTGGAAGGAAAATAATTTAGAAAAAATTTCTCAGGAATAAACTTGAAAGTTTTGTTTAGGTACTGTTACCAGACCCCAGTGTGTGAGTCCATTTGCCTGCGTGCATTGGTCAAAAGATGATGCCTGAGCAAGTTTACAGTGGAGGAAGGACTTTATTAGGATCGGGAGCATGTATTGAAGTAGTTGAGCACAGTAATCTGGAGTTAGGTGAGCTTGTGCTCTAAAAGACCTGGCTCCCGAATGGCCGGTAACTAACAGGTCATGTAGGGCAAAATCACAGGGCACCATGGATTGGGGGTCAGGGGACATGTTAGGAGCCGATTGGTGGAAAGTGAGGTAAGGGTAGTACATAATTTCTTCAGGTCTTGAGGACAGCTCTGGGATCAGCTTCCGTGCCCCTCTGTCTGGTTTGGTGGGGAGGTAGCTGAGGGGGTCCTTTCACCTTAGGGCTCAGGAGCTGGCAGAGGCTCAGACCTTGGAACCATAAAACTAACTTTGGTCAGTTTTGTCTCAAGGGTTAGTGATTTTCAAGGGGAAAGACTAAGGTCTGTGAAATGTGCAGGGGGAAGCAATGATTTTTAAAACTAAGGCTATAAATCATATCAAAATTATAAGTACCCGTGATTTTAACGCCAGGCCTCGGTCTGATTTATTTTATAAACCATTGAAATATTTCTGAGACAACTGGATCATCCTTATGGCCATTCTCTCGCCAGGGGTGGTGTCTTAGAGCTGTAACTGCTGGGATCAGTCAGAATTCCTGTCTTTATCGTCTCACCGGCCATTTCTCTGCAATCATAGATACTGATTTGTAGCTGAGCATCTTCTGAAGAAATGCTGTTGTCTCTTGCATGTTTGGGAATGAGGGTTATGGATGTATATAAGTTTGGGGATGCCTC